CTGGGATGTTTCAGGACTTTAGACAGTGTGAATGGCTGACGGAACTGTCCAAGGTCCTGAAAGTGCTGGAATGTTTCAAGACTTTAGATGGTGTGATGGGTTGAAGGAACTGTCCAAGGTCCTGAAAGTGCTGGAATGTTTCAGGACTTTCTAGACTTTATACATGTCTGTGCTGTGGACTATCCTCTCTTCTGCATTGGCACACACAAATATGGTGATTCGATCACTTGATTTTCAAGTCCCTTGAGACCCATTACTTAATGATTTGATGAGCCTGTCTTTTATATGATACACCGTGTTGCCATACAAGTGGGGTCGGTATTCCATTCAAACGTCAGCAGCGAGCTGCCCCCGCCTCTTCTCCAACTGTGAATGAAAATACAGAAAGAAAAATACAAGCAAACAAACATTACGGCAACAAAACACAACAAAATCACAGCTCACCTGTTGAAAAAGCGACTGAACAACGCGGGTGAGTGAAGGCAGAGGTGTCAAAGTGAGTGTTCTGGGAGCGGTGGGCGGTGAGAGCKGGCCGCCTGATGATTAGATTTACCGTGTGTGGTTCACGGCGGGGAGAGAGGATGACTCACTCCCGTCTGATGTGATGTTTCACCCCGCAACAGCTCGGCAGTGCGGTGGCACGCCGCTGCTTCAGCCTGACACGTCGGTGTTCTCCACCAAGAACATATATAAAAAAGAAAACTTTATGAAACTGCCCAGCCGCCTCCCGGCTCGAGCTTGTTTTGTAAACTTGAGCGGCCGTCACTCGTAGTTTGGAAGGAGAGACTCGGCGTCGTGATTGAATTTCGTGACGGTAATTGCCATGGAAACAGTAGCGCTCGTGCGCCGTGAGGGCGGGAACTGTCCGCGTTAACTTCAGGGTCGGATAAACCTGTTGGATGCACTATTAATAAATTTTAATAACAATATTAACGTCTTGAAATCCATCGCGCCTGCGTTGACTTGACTTTTCCGCTGTAACTTCACCACCAACCAGGTGAGTTTTTTTTTTATTCGACCAGGTTTTAGTTTGTTTTTATTTCTGCATGTTGCTCAGTTTTAGTCAAATATCGAGCTGCTAATTTGTTTAAAATGGCTGCAAACTTGAATGACTGGAGCAAAAGGAAAAGTGGCCCCTGCTTGGTGCACTGTGAGCTTTTGTGCTTAATCACTTGTATGACTGGACATTTTATGGCTCTGTGGCGCATTTCGTGCAGTTTCCTTTTTTTTTTTTTTTCCGCAAATGGAAAGAACCCAGGAGAGCCAATGAGTGATGCTTTGTTCAGCGGCTGTATGACTCATATAGTCTTATCTATAAAGAAGCCAAGTGGCAGAGGAGCAGTCCTGCTGCAGGACCGAGCCGGTGCAGAACCCCTAAGAGGCACTAGAGGCCGCTGTGGGGCCCCTGTGTGTCCCTGTGCATTGCATCTGCACTGGAGGCCCCCAAACACACTCACACACACACACGCACACACACACACGCACGCACACACACACATACACATGCACGACCCTTCTCTGTTGTCTTTACAATACCTACTTTTAACATACCCCTCGCCAAAAACAGTTTTTAAGTGATTTAATGTGATTAATTTATTTTAGAAGCCACTGATATCTGCATCACCTTGTCCACATTCATCAAATATTTGCTTTTAATGTCTTTGAACAGCAACCAGAGGCAAATTTTAAATAAAACGCTCCTTTTGCTTCTGTCCATACACCTAAATTACATCCACCTCAGCCCTCTGAGGTGTTTTTGGTAAAAGGATTAGAAATATTTGCTCTGTAAAAAAAAAGAAAAAAGGTGAGTCAGTTATCGATGACGTACGACCACTTTCTCCTTCACATTCTCCCTAATTTCTAATTTTTTTTGCAGTTTTTCCAAAAATCTTTTCCAAAGCAATGTTTGCGACAAGATAAGAAACAGAAATATCTATTAAAAATCATTTAACGCGTGTCCACGACATGTCAACCAGAGTGTTCGTGTCTCCAGGTAAACAACAGAGCAGTGACTCACCTCTAACACACAAGAATGCAACAAATTCAGCTTTAAATCTTTCATAAACATACGCAAGATGACGCAAGATGTTTACTGACATCGCATTCTTWGAAAGAAACATTCAGGGAGCATTGTACAGAGTTCTCAGCATCATTTATGTTTTTGCTCTAAAGTTGATAAAAGAAACAATATAATGATTTTATACAGCCCCTTCTTGTTCAACAAAGAATAAATTAATATTTATRTATTTATTTATTTGTTGCTGTTAAGCAAACTCAATCCTTTTTCATGCATCTTAACATGACAACTTAGAAAATATTTGCTCCCATTCCTGAATTAGTTTCGTTTAAAAGTATTGCTATTATTGCATCCAAGCTCCCACAGGTCTAATAGCTCACATTTTTATGTAGAAACAACTTTGCTGATTTAACTTACAGTATGTGTAAAGAGGTTTCAAAAAAAGAAAATTAGATTTAATATCAACAACTTATTTTGTTGCCATTAAGCTGCAGCTCTAAAAAAGGAGAGTTCAGCTTTTCATTAAGCGGGAAAATATTATGAACAAATATTATTTTGCTGGTTATAATTAGCTCTTTGAACAACCTCAGTTTGGAGGAATGTTGTTTCTGACAAAACTAAGTGGAGCCACTGCTGATGTCTTAAAAGTTTCATTGCATTTCTTGCAAACATCTTTTGTAAACTCTTATATTTGTCCATTTCACGTTTACTTAAAGAGCAGCCAAATACTTTGGTCTTGGCCTCGCTTGGACTAGTCCTTAGCTYGTCARTCCAGTCAAAAYTATACTGAACTGAGCTGTTCAAAGACCTATTTGTGACAAATTAGATGTAAATTGTGCAACATCATACACTATTTCAAAAGAACTGAACTGCTCATTTATTGTTTAATTTCAGTGTTTTATATCTGGTTCCCTGGAGCTTTTCAGAGGAGAAGGAAACTGTTAAATTTAAGTCGCCTATTTAAGGAAAAATATCTTTAAGGATAAAGATGCCAATTTCTGTTTGATCCTCACTGAAGTAGTGTACACTGGAATCAGAAACATAAACAARAGGCTTATAAGTCATATGTGTTTTTCTTTTATTGCATAATTTTTGAGCCATAATGTCAGACTTTTGTTTCACAGGTGAGGAATATGGAACCTAAAACAGAGAAGAGGTTCCACAACTTGACCCTCGAGCAAGTCCAGGCCCTCGACCAAGTCTTGACCGAGGTGATCCCAATTCACGGGCGGGGAAACTTCCCCACACTGCAGGTTAGGGCGAAAGACATCATCCGAGTGGTGAAGGACCGGCTGATCGAAAGAGACATCCAGGTTAAAGATATCCGCCTGAACGGAGCGACGGCCAGCTACATCCTGGTGAGAGATAACGGCCTGGGCTACAGAGACTTGGACATCATCTTCGGCGTGGAGCTGCCCAGGCAGGAGGACTTCCAGGTGATTAAGGAGGTGGTGCTGGGCAGCCTACGAGACCTCCTCCCTTGTGGGGTCAACAGACGGAAGATCACCTGCCTCACAATGAAGGAAGCGTACGTGCAAAAGATGGTGAAAGTCTTCAACGAGCACGACCGCTGGAGTCTGATCTCGCTTTCCAACAACCGAGCTAAAACTGTGGGACTCAGGTTCGTCAGCTCCCTTCGGAGGCAGTTCGAGTTCAGCGTGGACTCGTTTCAGATCATCTTGGATCGGATGCTGGAGTTCTACTGGGAGACGGAAAGAAAACAAGGAGGAACGGTGACGCTGAGTGCTGGGACTTTGTCTAAAAGAGACAACAAGGATGGCAACAAGGAGCAAGAACCACCAAGCGCTCCTAAAGACAATGAAGAGAACAAAGATTCAACAACCAGGACAGACGCTCCACATCTGGATGAAGCTGTTGCTGCTTTTGCTAAAGAGCTTCCACGGGAAGAGAACGAGGGAAAGCACGAGGCACAGCTGGTGTCTGATCCTGAAATAAATCCTTCMCAGCAGGCGGAAGACGATGTGGACGACATTGAAGATGTTCCTTCAGACGACATATCCGAAGTGTTTGAACTTTGTGAGGAAAGCGGGCAACACAAGGAATCATTTAACCATGATTATCCATCAGCGGCTTCCTCAAAAACTTTATTTAAAGATGCCGTGGATCCAGTGATGACACGCGAAAGTTTGAAGCTCCAAACTGAAGAAGAAATACCCGAGATGGTGTCTGTAACCGACGCTGGAGTATTAGCTTCACAGGAAGCAACCGTTTGTGAAAAGAGTTCACAGTTTGAAGTAGACATCGGCAGGACTGAAAATACTCCAGCAGGCCAAGACTCACACTTTGAATTCTCCTTTCCTCCCCCGGCTAAAAAGACTTGCAGCACTTCACAGGACATTGTGCCRGAGTACTGCCCTTCACCGAAATTACAGAGAAAAATGTCTCGGAAGTTGATCAGCAAGCCTGAAAAATGGTCCTTACTCTCTGACGTGTCTGACCTCACCACACAGCTCTTTGCACCCATAGACATACTGAAACCTGCTCAGCCAACTAATCCCACACTGGAGCAAGTTCACAGCTCAGATGTTTCATGCTCAAAATCAGAAGGCGCCCCTACAGTTCCCACGTCCAGTCCAGCCAGTTCTCCTCAGAAAGGCAAACGTCCAGAGCAGACTGTAAAGCCAAAGAAGCCTCCAGATTTAGAGGCTCAAAGTCGAACGTGTTTGACAAACCTTTCTGTAGGAGACCCTGAACCTGCTGACCCCATCTCAGTCTGCCCTGGCTCAGGCTCATGGGTCACAGCTGAAGGGGAGCCCATCATTGCAGTTGAAGCCAAGTGCATGTACGGAGACTTTGACCAGGCGATGGAACACCTTCGCCACCGCCTCATCGCCACACACAACCCGGAGGAGATCCGCGGAGGGGGGCTGCTGAAGTACAGCGACCTGCTGGTGAGGAACTTTAGGCCAGCCAGCGAGACTGAGATCAAGTCCTTGGAGCGCTACATGTGCTCCCGCTTCTTCATCGACTTTCCCGACGTGAGCGAGCAGCAGCGAAAAATCGAGGCCTACCTGCACTGCCACTTCGTCGGCAGCGAGGAGGCGAGCAAGTACGACTACCTGATGACCCTGCGGCGGGTGATCGACGAGAGCACGGTGTGCTTGATGGGACACGAGAGGCGGCAGACGCTCAACATGATCACCGTCCTGGCTTTGAGGGTGCTGGGCGAGCAGAACGCCATCCCCAACACGGCAAACGTGACCTGCTTCTACCAGCCGGCGCCGTACATGTCAGAGCCCATTTACAACAGCTACTTCATCCCTCAGGCCCAGCCCCCGCTCGTCTACCACCCCTACCCTCTACACGTTCACATGCAGACCGGACTCGTGTAGCCGAAGTGCCCCCGCGAAGGCATGCCGCCTGCTTTTTTTTCCCCCCAGCATGGTGCTCTGCACAGCAGCACGAAATGGAAGATTTGATCAACAACCAGACAACCACGGGGCGCAGCGCTCATGTTTTTAAATCCCTCCTGCTTCTAACGTCAAAGAAAACAAGAGGTCAGGAATGAGAGGCTGGTGGAGGCCAACATGCTCGCTTTTAATGAKACCACGAGGAAAGGAACACAAGGAGTCCAACTTTCTGAAAGGATTTGATCAGAGTTGAGGGTCTTTCTGTGTGGACGTTCAGGTTTGGGGAGTTCTGTACTGACGGTCCTCTTGTGTTGAAAGGACTGTGACGTGGTCAAGATTTTATGGCTAAACTTCTCTAATTATAACCCGTCAAACACCCGTCGGCTAGAAAAATCTCGGTTTGGGTAAAGTTCGAGTCGTGATTAGAATCCCATTGATGTTTTCGTGAATCATCTGTCTCTGTGGGGTAAAGTTCAATCTGTGACCTGTTGAAAATATATAACACCAGTTAACTTGGGAATAAGTAGATYGTGGTACTTCCATAATGTGGTAAATGTATTTGTGAACGCCTCATTTCAGAGGAATCCAGGGTTTCATACTATTAGTGACTGTATAAGAATAATTACTGATGATAGTATTTAGGTAGTCATAAAACTAGTTTCTGACAGTTTTTACACAACTTTGCAAAAACATTTATTGTAATCAATTTATAGCATTGTGTTAGATTACCATAACAAAATTAAACGTAAAACTTCATTCAAGAGTGGGTTAAATTTCTGAACACCACAACCTTACATTAGGTAGGACTAGTAGTGATTCATGTGATCTGGTAAGGTTTTGTTTTTTCCAAAATGGTAAAAAAGAAATAAAATCAAATAAAGATTTTCTTAAAGATTAGAACAACCTTGACAAAATGCCGAGCGTTGTTTCTGTCCTTAGGAACAGTCTTCTTTTACACATCAGTAATAGCAACTCAAATTGTCACTTTTGGGAGTAAGAAGTATAAAAATTTAACTTTATCTGTTGATGCATTTCAGATAGGCCTTACATTATAAGGTTTTGCTTCTTTGGTTTGTGAATTTTTCCAAGAAAAAAAAAAAAAAACAAGCCAAAAAGGGTCTTTCACACACAAAGACATAGGAAAAATACAACAAATCACAAAACACTAATTTTGTCTTCTTTATGAAGCAGTCCTGTAAATGACTAGTTTAGTTCAAGTAATTTTTATTTGTTTGTGTGTTGGAATTAAACCATGCATGTCGTTGATTCTCAGGCTGAAAGCTTAATAATGTACATTATATAGTCTTGTCTTACCATTAAAGTGTCTCTATTTTGAGTCAACGTGATGGTGAATGTACAAAGATTTGTGTCTGAACKTGGATTTGAGGCTTTTTTTATTGGTGGGTTCTGATCAGATTGGATGAGCTGCAATTTAAATTTACAACTCAAAGTTTTTATTCACTACTTCTAAACTGTGGTGTCGATAGTTTCACAAAAACACAGCTTTTTCCACCCTCAGATTAATTGTGCTCAACGAAACGGAAGCAATCTGTTCAAAGTTAAAAAGATGAATACGGGGTAGTTTATTTGTATTATCTAAAAACTTCCAAAAAATAAAATCAAGCAAGTAATGCAGAACAAGTATATTTGTACTGACAGCCTGGCAAAATAAAAATAAGTGTTTATTTGTCTAGATTTTCACAGCTTAAAATGATTCATTTTTACAATTTTCATGTGGCGAAGCATCACAGCAGTTTGCCGCTTGCTGATTATTTCACTTTTAATTTTCAGGCTGAATTTGAACCCAACTCTTTGCTGGAAATGCAGAAAGCATGTTGAATGTTTTTGTGACGCTCACGGATTGTGTGTTTCTTATATTGAATGAAGATAAGTTATGTGGAGTTTCTGCCTGCTGTTGTGTGCAAAACTGTTACTGCGTATTTTAATTATTTAAGGTGACAATAATACAGCCGATGGTTATTTCTCTGTTTGTGTGGTTGTTCACTGCGTGCACACAGTTACATGTATCGAGTGTTTATTTTTAATGACTGAAGCACAGCTTAGGATATGTGAGGCCGAAGCACAATATAAATGAACTTAGATGTTGTCRAGTCATGAAGGTGTTTGACATGCTTGTAATTAATCGAGTACACACTGAAAACAATACTGTGTGCATCTGTCCCCCCAGTGTAGCTTCCAAGTGGTTGTATTGATCTTTGAGGTGTGTTTTGTGTCGTCATGAAGCTGTTATGATCACAAAAGAAACAGAAATATTTGTGCTATGATATCTTGTAGTGTTAATGTGATAATAAATGTAACAAAGCTGCTTGTTTGTTTGCAGTGTTCTCTTTTAATCCATGTTTATTTTTCATTAGGATGTGGATATAAACTTCAGTTTACATGAAATTTCATCCATTCTTATGTTAAAGCTACTTTGGGCACGTTTAAAGGGACAGTTCAGTTTTGTAATGATGTTAGCTAATGACTAGTTCAGTAACAAAGATGATTGCCCTCCGGTGGCTCAAGATTTCAGGTAGCACCCCTATTTCCAAAGTCTCTGCCAATTTACATACATTCACATATCAAATTAAATAGATTTGTCTACTTTATCTTTAGAAACCAGGTTGTCCAGTTAAAAAAAAGTCAACAAGGACACCTGTTCATGTGGAGTGAAGCAGTTTTAGGGGGAATCCAGGGGTATGCTCTCCCAAAATTTGAAATCATAACTGAAATTTCCACTAATCCAATTTAGTTTTTTTATTTGCACACTGAGCACCAGTTAGTCCTGACTGCATCATATGATACTTGAATCACGAAATATCATCTGTACCATACAACACCTCATGCAGCAACAAAGCAGCTGAGAAACCCACAGAAGTCAGTAAGACGTCTGGGGTAGCATTACACACAAGAATTATATTATTTATGCTCTTTAAGGTCAAAAAGCAGGGGGTTGCATTTTGCACGCAGAGCCGTTAGCAGGTCAATAAGGTCAGAAATAATTTGTTTCTCCAAATTGAGGTCAGTAAAAGAGCCATCTGCAACAGGTAAGATGTTTATAACCTTTTTGCAAAACCTATCTTTAAAAGTTTATCTAAACTATCTCTTTAAGGGCCATACTTTTTGATATAAATGAAACAGTTTTGCATGTTGTTTACTGTTTGATGAGTAACACGGGCAGCATCACATCTGCTTTGCTGCATATTCATTTGTACACTGATCCTGACCATATTTCTTGCACTAAACCAGATGTTCCACATCTGCTGCCCTTATAATAACTCAGCTCTTTATTACATTTTATTCACTTGTCGACCTTGAACATAACACTCGAATATTACAACCAGAATGCTTTGAAATGCAACTAGTTCACCTTTTTGATCATAGTCAGACTGGTCTGAACTTTGCTGGCTCATCCTACGAAAAGCGACTTTAAGAATTCACTGGTGCGTGTGATTTTCCACTTTCTCTGCCATTTCTAAGGTGTGGTGAAGCACAGTGCGTCACAGCTTAACCTTGTTTGTTCGTCTGACTCAGCGCCAGCTTTCTGTGCATTAATGCTGCTGCAAAGAGTCCATTCAAGTTTATGAGCGACCATCACAGTAAATTGACAGAACCAGTATTTTTTTTATTTTTTCCTGTTCAGAAAATGTCTGCCTTCAGTCGATGCTCATCGCCCCGTTGTACAGACAACAGATGAGTCAGACGTGGTGCTGCTGAACAGCTCCTTTAAGTCTGCGCCCCCAGATTTTAATACATCGTATGGAAGAATCCTTAAACGTCCTATTCAATACTTTTTTAAAGAAACTTGACTTTTATTTAAAAAAAAACCCACATACAATCAAAACATGTCATAGAAAAGTCAAAGCAAGTGTTTCACACCTACAGCAGAATGTCATCATCTAATCTTTGCCTCCTACTTTCTGAAAATAAATCTCCAAACAGTTTAGTCTTAGTCTCACGCTCAACCATAATAATCCAGAGAAACCAGTTAATGCTGTTAAGAGAACATGTTGGTGCCAGTCTGTTTTGCTCCTAAGAACTGAACCCTCTAAAAACACTAAACTGCAAAGAAAAGATAAAAACTCTGTGGTGCAAAAAAATAAAAATAAAAAAAAATCCAGAAAATTGGGATGTTTGGATTTAAGCACCCGGTGCAGAAGGCAGAAAGTGAGTCATCTTTTTTTTTTCTGCCGGTAATCTGCCTCGAAACGATTTACCAGAACGTTTGCACAGCAGCACAAGATCTGATGTAAACATCATATAAAAATAATAATGGGAGTGGATAAAACAAGACTTTTTTTTTGATGATTTCCAATGGCACATTAAATCACATATTTAAAATAAAACATGATGGATGTAGCTGATCCACCTGTGTTTTTAAACACATCGAGAAGAAGATGGGCCATTTTCTTTGCTCAGATGAGCAGAAATCATAAAAAAGAAAAAACAGTACAAACATAAAAAAGAAGTTACAAACAAAARGATGGCACAGTTTAAAAGTCTCATGTTATTTCTCAGCTGCCACGTGGAGTAGATAAATGTGCAAATCTCTTTTCCTCATCATATAAACAATTCAACTAGGAAAAAAAAAACTATGGAAACAATATAATAAAATAAATATTCATGTGTGGAAGAGATGCCAAGGGACCCTTTAGTTTTTGTTCAGGAGTTGAGGAAGAAGCTATAAATAGATGCAAGTCTAGAGTACCTATACAACAAGGATGAAGTGGTATTTCACCCCCCTCCCCAGGAACAAATAACATAAAAAACAAGTTCCACTCAAATAAAAGCTTAAAAACAAGATGCTCAGGACAAAAAAGGGAAAAACATTAAACATACGTAGACCAAAGCTGTCAAAAMTATGTTACTGTGGTTTTGCTTTCAATTAGTATTGCTTCCACTAATCTGCACTAAATAAAAACACAATCTGAAAACTAAAAGCTGAGCCTTGCTGTTGTAGGGCAAGACACAAAAGGTTGACATCAGATGCTAAATCAGGTTTCAGGTGTTTTAAATGAACGAATGATCTAACATCAACGTGAGCATCGAGTTTTTGGCATCTTCGCATCCTTCTTTGGTGACTTAGTGGGTGAAGACGTAAAGAAGAGTGAGCTTAGTGTTGTAGACGTGAACAGGCTGGAAGATGAGGAGAAGAGTGGCCGGGTCGAACCAGTTCCTCCGGTGAACAGTAAGGCCCGAGGTGAGTTAGTCCAGCTGGAGAGGGGGGTCTGTGTCGACCAGCGAGGAGAAGTCTGACAATAGTTTGAGCACCAGCTATCAGCTTGAGGTTTTATTAGCAGTCTTGGATAAAGAAAACCATATATATTCATATATTTTATTTACACACTTGTACAAAACAAACAAAAAAAAAATCCCTGATGTCGTGTTTAAAAGTGTGTTTTTTTTAAACTGAGGTCTGAAAGGAGCGCTGTGTCAGTGACCCCAGCCCATGAGGTGGCTGACGCGGGCTTTCTCAGTCATACGTCGGACCCGTCCTGAGCGGGACCTCCCCAGGTTGAGGGGGTCGTCCTTCGACTCGTGTCCGTCGTCCTCAGAGTCGTCCTGGTATACCACTGTCCTGCGGCCCTGGTTTCGCGTGTTGACGCGTCCGGCTTTGCACGRGTTTCCTCTCTGACTGGAAGCTGCTGCTGGCCTCCCCTGCACCTCTTCCTCAGGCTCCTCCTCTTCCTCAGGCTCCTCCTCCTCGTCCTCTTCTTCCTCCTCTTCATCGTCATTGTCCTCTTCCTTTAGATGTCTTACATCTACCTGTTGCTGGAGCTCCTCTTCTTCCTCCTCTTCATTCTCCTCCTCTGATTCCTCGTCGTCCTCCTCCTCCTCCTCCTCCTTCTCTGGCGGCTCCAGACGAGCTCGTTTAGGGCTCTGCAGAGCCTCCTGCCCTCCTTTGTGCTTCCTCTTCCCAAAAGCCACCAGCTTCCCCTTCACCGAGAGGCGCATCTTCAGGCAGGGCGCTTTGCTGTAGTCGTGGTCTCCGCCCTCCACGTACTCCTCCGCCTCGGAGTCGGAGCTGCTCTCGCTGCTGCCCGACGAAGAGGAGGAAGAGCTCGATGACGACGAGGAGGAGGAATCTGAGGAGGAGCTGTTGGAACCGGATGCCTCCTCCTTGTTGTCGTCGGACAGCGGCCTTTGTTCCTCGTGCTGCTGCCTGGAGCTGGTACTGAGAGGTCGCTGGCCTGATGTGCACGTACACACACACACACACACACACACACAC